TTAAACGATAGGAGAACAAACGCAAATCTTTTTTTAACACTGTGTGGCAGGTACCGACTGATACTCCCACCATTTGTGATAAAACACGTACAGAAGTTCTTGGCGCATTTTCCATTATTTGTTGGACATTTTCTTTTAATTCTTCAGTCCGCTTTTTAGGTCGGCCGCTTCCTTCTTTTCTTGTTACACTGCCCGTTTCACGAAAAACATTAACACAACGCTGAACTGCACTTTGAAAAATTTTGTACTCAACAACGCCGGGAAATTGATTTTGAAATTCTATGAAACATTCCTCAATAGAATACTTCCATATTCCATCAATCTTGCGTCCATTTCTAAAGTAGGACTCTATGATAAACACTTTTTGTTCTTGAGAAAACACCATTTTAAACGCTTTTTAAAACGAAAATATTCAAATTGATAGCGGCGATATAGCGCTTTGACAGATGACGTTTAAGTTCATTTGCTATACGCTACGCCCTACGTCCAAATTTTCAGAACCAACTTGACCACGTTTTTATTTGAACGCTCGTTATAATATTGTATTATATATTATTTTTGTAATTAAAAATGTAATTGATAGATGATGCATTTATATTGAAAATTGTATCTTATCACGTTTCTAAGATATTTAATATTTTCAATGATGATGTAAACATTTCGCACCCTTGCTTCAAAAGTGTCACAAGTCAAAATCCTTCATTTTTCAGAAAAGATGAAAAAGCTCTAGCGACAAAAGTAACTAAATTGTTTAAAAACATTATTGATGATTATAAAGGTTTCAGCAAAGGGGCCAAAAACCAAATAGCATTTTGGAACCATTTTAACTGCAACTAACTGAAAATCAAAATCAATGGTGGTATTATGTCAAAAATTGAATTTTTTGAGTTGTGACACTTTTGAAGCGAAGGTGCGATTTATTTTTATACATTAAATAAAATCAAAACAGTACTACTAATATTTGTTTATTAAAGTAGAGCTCAAATTATTGATATTAACATACGTACGGACGAATCCATCTTAAATTGGACGCTCTGTATATACCTCACTATCAATAAGTAATAAATGTAGCGTGTGGTTTTCTCTAATAGTTACTTTTATTTTCTGATCGAATTGGACTGGAAAAAATTATTCAACAGGACCTACAACAATGTAGAGTGACTGTCTGTTTAACATTGTAGTTCAAGGATATGCAAAAAATAAAGGCTGTAAAATTGTAATAATGCTCGAGTCACAAATAGTTAAATAGTTCCTTGTTGCATAATATTGAAATATCGAATGTTGTATATCTGACAGGTGTTATGAGATGTTAGTTTTTACGTGCACGATATTCACGAATCTTGTCTTTTTTTATTAGATTAACATTTTTTTGGGGGGGATTTACATATTTTGTTAATTAAATTGTTAATAATAAGTGGGTCTTTATTTACATAAACAAGTATTCATTTTGATAAGAGCTGGGTCAAAAAACGGCCTAATAAGTATTATCAATAGTAATTAATCATACCCAAATTATTAGTTTATTTAGAATAAATATATGAAGAACTGTGATTATTTTATCTATTTTTATGTACAACAATGATACCTATTTTTAACTTTAAAGTTACAAACAGCAACACTTCAATATTTTATAAATAATATTTATGTATATAAACTAGTTGTTTTGCTTTTATTTTTTGACTTTAATCCATTATGAAACTCGTAGAAAGTAGTTGATAAAATTTGATTTAATAATAATAAGAAATTGGCAAGTATTTTTTATAAAGTACTATTTTGTGTTTGGTTGCGAATAGATTCTATTCTATTCAACAGAATTTAGTGCAATGACCCCCATTAGCACTACTAGCAAAATTATATTTGCATTTCTATTTTACACCTAAGTTCATAGTTATTAAAAAATATATAAAGTGTAAATGGCAAACATTTAATAATCTCCCTTTTCATTTTATAAACAAAATCTGGAATCGAATTCAAAACGAAAGAAAAATCTAAGAAAAAACGTAGTTGAACAGATCTGTAGCTATACAGCTTATGCCTAGAGCTAAAATATATAGGTTGCTTACGAACTAGCTTCCAACGTAACTTTTTTTGATTTATTGATTTTAAGTTTTTTTTATTAATGTAATTGAATTTTATAATTCAAAGCTCTGATCAACCGGACCATTTTTATTTTGTTGAAAATTAAAAAAGTACTGTAGGTACTTTTTTATGGAAGAAAATCCTAGGGTTCTAATTCAGGGCCACCTGAAATGCAAGAGTATACATTTTTTGTAGTAGCAGTATAGCGTGTTTCAAATCTAAAGAATCTAAAAAAAGTTAGGACTCATCCAAAAAAAATTGCAAATTATTACAACAGATTTGCTAAGTTATACTTGAAGGTTTCTATTTAATAGTTATATAATATAATACACTAGGCACAGAAATTAAGTAATATTAGAAGAATCTCAAAATTTTGGTTGATTTTCAAAGAGTTGCAACTTGGAGGGAAATAGTCGTAGAGAAAATCAAATATAAGGAAATTGAAGCTTCAAGTTTCTAGTTTTCGGATCTGGAGTTTAATTTTTTTTTTAATTAGCGTCAGCACTCAGCAGTTTTTGAGTAATCATAGGAAAATCTACTATAAAAAAATTGCAAATTTTTGTTTTTCTTTAAAAAAATTTGTTTTATCAAAAACCAATAATTGTGACTTGTAAAGAATACTTTGTAGTTTTCAAAACCCTGCTTATATTTTCTATACGCCCATTGTTTCCCAAAAATGATTTTTTTGCTTTGATTGACGATAACTCTGCGACAAATCATCGTACAGGGCTCCGGGACCGCTCAAATTGAAACTGAAATTATGTAAAAAGAACTTTAAGGTCAAATTACCAAAATTTTTGAAGTCCATAGGCCTTTTTAAATAAAAATAAAAATTTGCAATATTTTTTTCGTTGATTTTGCTATGATTACTCAAAAACTGCTGAAAATGTTAAACTCCAAATCCGAAAATTAGGCACTGGAAGATTCAATTTCTTTATTTTTGATTCTCTCTACGATCATTTCCTGCCAAGTTACAGCTCTTTGAAAATCACCCAAAATTTTGGGATTCTTTTAATATCCCTTAATTTCTGTGCGTTGTGTAGTATAAACCTTGTACCAATCATGTAATTATTGCTCATATAACATGGTGTACTAAGGAAAAACTGTAATTGTCAAGAATTGTCATAACACATTGTATTGTACCTACTAAGAAATTGGTACAATTTGTTACAGGTCAACCTAATTAAGAATTCGTTTGAATTTTCTCTAAAGAAAATCCTGATACTTAGTATTTCTTTAATTTTTGCACCAAAAAAATAATGGCCATGACTTTGTATTATAGAGAGAATGGGATATATCTAACGCTTTTTCAGGAAATTTATCTAACAAAAAATGTTCCTTATAATCGGTCAGTAAATAAAAGAAATTTAGGGAATGTTTGTCCTCAAGAAGAACATCCTGTATAACGCTAAAAAATATGGACATTGTGATGGTTTACATGTTGAAATTAAAATTCTAGGTTAGTGCAAGTTACAAAACATTAAGAAAAATGTCATTTGTTCTCAGAGCTAATAAAGACATTTCTATGTATTGACTGGACAACGCTTTTAGAAGTAAATATTTCTTTTTAGTTTTTGTGTTTTTTTTTTGGAGTTCTGGTAGGCGGAACAAGTTATAAAACATAACTTTTAACAAAAATTAAAATCAGTAATAAAAAAATCGGCATAAGAAGGGAAAATCGAAAATATTGGTATAGTAAAAAAAACAATTCACATTAATCTAGACATTTTGTCAAGATTTGTAATATTGTCGCGACAAAATTTCATTTTTTTTCTAAAAGTTTGTATTTTGTATAATATTTAACTGTACTGACATCAAATATTTATTATATTTTAATTGTGATACAAAAATGGTATATATATGATGAAAAATGTACAGAATTTTTCCTTTTCCTTTTTTTCCTTTTTTTTCCAGAATAACAAGAGCGACGAACAAAACAACATGAATAAAGCAACACAACGTTAAACGGTAAATTTAAATTTTATTACAAATGTTCAAAGTGCGCACCATCACTATTTATACACTGCGCTCTTTCATAAATGCTCTGAGTAGAAGATTGAATCATGTGTATTGAGTTTATCACTTTTGAAATATTTATTTATCCTCAATTCCTCCTCATTGTTGTATTGCCTTGTGTATAGCTAATCGTTAACATAATCATAAAAGAAAAAATCCATGATCAGGACTTCTCGATCGCCTAGTAACTGGACCACCAAGTAATGGTATGCACTTCGAACATTTGTGATAAAATTTAAATTTACCTTTTAATTTTGTTTTGCTCTTGTTGTTGACATGTAAATAAAGTTTGCTGTTTTAAAAATTATTAAAAAATAGAACTATTAAATTAATTTATAGAAAAATTTAAATGTCTACTTGACTTTTTTATTAAAATTATAAAATAATATTCAATATCTTGGTTAATTATTTATGAAAATCCCACAAATTATACATTATTATATAGAAAATTTCCATTTTCTTCTAATGAGGTAAACATTGAATATGGCGCCCATAACAAAAACGAAAGTTAACCACCGCTCTGCACACGTTTTTAGAGATACGTTAATATTAACAGCAAAAATCTGTTCCTCACATCGTTTTATATCAGACTACAACTTTTTATCCTAAAACTTTGAAAAACAAGTGAAATACGACTAAACAAAGAAATAGCATAAATCGGTTTCTTTCGAATATCTTCGGAGCTTTTCGGAATTTTAAAAATTAAACACACTGCGCATTTTTGCATACTAAACCATTTCTGTATCTCTTAAAATAGGATACCTGTATTGGACAATTAAAAAGTTGCAACCCAGTATCTTTAGTAACCTAGATATTTGGTCCAAAGAGCATCACGACTTTCTTTGGCAAAATCTTTAGGAAACCGTTTTAGTTAATAGGAATATAAAATAAAAAAAAATACCTACCTGGGCACAGTAACGAAAATCCTATCCCTCCACCTTTCCACCCCCAGGGGTAGGTTGTTGTGGACGATGTAATCCCCGGTCTTCACCGCCTCGTTCTTGGCCTCTTCACTGGGCCACGCGAAAGATACCTCTTTCCACGCGAAGACTTCCTCGAGCTGGGCCGCCGCGGCGCAGAGGCCCACCACACCGACGAAAAAGATCAGAACCACCTTCAGCATCTCGCTAACGCTCTCTCGACTCCTGCTGGTCGGGACTGGACGGCGTGCCCAGGAGATGCTGATATAAACTACGGCCTCCTCCCACTTTGGAGCGGATCGCGAAATCTGGTAGCCAGAGGCGTAGCAAAGGGGGAAGCGGTGCCGGTGCGTGGTTTTTGCGGTTTTCATGGTAATAATATGCCGTTTCGTCCTACACACAAGTATAGGAAAGGATTCTAGGGAAGAGAGAGCTCATTGTCGTTACTTTCAAAAGGAAAATGTTTTTTAAATAGAAGATTTGATATTTTAAAATACTTAAACTTCTCTTAGAAAATTGTTGATACTACAACAATCGATATATCTGTTTGTATATTTTTCCAAGACCTTCTCACCTAACTATTTAATTTAAAAAATCTAGTGATTTAGTAAACAAAATGACGGCTGTCGAAAATTTGTTTTTTTTGTCGTACAAATATTTACTGTCTTGAAAACAGTTGGTTAAATTAAAATAAAATTTTGTTAAGTTAGTACGTATTAATTTCTCGAAGAGAAATCGATAATAAATTTGAAAATTGCATAATTTTAAAAACCACTTTGAGTATGGAATCAAATTTTTAATGCGACATTTCATCTTTCACTAACCATCATCAGCTTAATTTTTTTTAATACAAACTGTTAATATTTTTGCGCCATTTTCTTCGGAATCCAATGATATAAATGTTACAATTTGGTGACGTTTCGGATGGAGAAACTCATCGTAAGTTAGTTTTTGGCGAAGATGTTGATATTTATTTTTTAACAATCCTAACAGTTGACGAAGTTCATATAAACCTGTGTTAAGAAGCGTTTCGAAATGTTTTTTTATGGCCCTTAACGGTATGTGTATCACACAGGTTTTCAAGCTAACAGTGGCGGCTCGTAACATTGAAAATAGGTGAAGCATATTCATTGATTGACTGTAAAGAAAAAAAAGCGCTTTCAAATTTTCAATGTCAAACGGCTTTAAATGATTCTGTAAATTTTTAGTTGCATTTGCAATATTACCGAAAAACTGACGTTCGCGACAACGATTTTCATTTAGATTTTATAAAAAATAGAAATATTAGTTTGGCTTGCGAACATTAACGCACACCGTATATGTATGTTTCAAATAAGTTTCGTGGCTATGACAGCCTCGCGTGACGTTCCCAAAATTGTTAAATCCCTCCTTATTCGTATAAACTGTTTAAAGGCAGACGATGGGCGTCGGGCGACTACAATGCTGCTTCAATTTCCGCGTCACTCGTTTCCCCACGCCGAAGTTTACTCCCGTGTTGACCGCCTCGTTGCCATGATAACCGCCGTAAACAACGCTACGAAGAGAAGCGGAATACAGACTGTTTCGATCCGCGTCACTTGCTTATGCTTATGTATGGTACGAGATTGATGTTCACGCTCAACGAAGGCCATGTTTTTTTTTAGAAGGCTTTCACTGCGCAACTATTCTGTTTATTTCTGCGTATAAAACAAACAAACACAATACATTTTCAATATAGAATTATACCTAAATTATAAAATTTATATAAAATTGAAAATAATTTTAAATTGCACAACCAAACGGAAATTTTAGGTGAATCGATGCGTTACTTGCGTCACCTGGCGAGCTATAACGATTGACTCATTGTTATAGCAGGATAATAAAGACTTATAAAAATAGTTGGATTGGCAAGTATGTATTGTTTTTTAGATAAGTTATACAATATTGTCATTAGTTGAAGTCGAAGGCCTTCCTGGTCGAGGATCATCTTCAACTGACTGACGACCATAGTGAAAACTAGTCCTAACATTGCATACGACCCAGAGCATCATTTCCGTAAGCTTGTTTCAAAAGTTGAAACGTTTTCGTGAAAGTTTTCCCCAGTTTTGTGACGTAGAATTTTTCATTAAAGTTTGACCAAGCATTTCACTTACACTCTATATATTGAATATACTCATATATGTACAGAACAGTCCAAGGTTGCACTGTTGTACGCAACTGATGAGGTGTGTGCATTCTCTTCTTTCGTTTTTCAATAATCCTTGATCGAAAATTTATGTTGTATGTACCTAATTTAAATAACTACAGAGTGTAACCTATTTACAGAGCATAATTTTGCAAAAAAGCTTTTTCAAAAAGTAAATGAAAAATTTTTAATTTTAAAATACTAACGGATACTGCAGACACATTATCTCACTTTAACAATAGACCTTTGAAATGATGACAATATTCCAACGTTTATGTAATTATGAGTATTTTAAAATTAATAAATTCACAGTGACTGGGCACTGGGAAAATATAAAAGTTACGTTATTACAGTACGTTACAGAAAATTAAATGGAATATCTAAAATTAGATTTTCGACATTTAAAACAACCTGATTGGTTGACATCTATTATAGTCCACGGACCCACGTACAAAGAAAAAAGTGATTACCAGCAAGCTGTAACTTTGCGTGCAGCTTAAGTTTGACAAGTCTCGCAAGATTTGACTACGAGGAAAATTCAATTTTTTAAACCCCCCAAAAAATTTGTCCGACAAAAATGTTGGTATTTTGAGTTTATCCCCCACCCCAAATATGTCGATTTGGTGACATTATGGTTGGTGACAACCAGCAAGCTGATTTTTCTGGAAGGGTTTGGTAATAAGATTTGAAATGAAAGTATCTTATTGTCCGACAAAAGCCCTGAGAAGTTTTTGCAGTCCGTCGCCCCGAAGATGTCGACTTAACGACAACATGGTTGGTGATAACCAGCAATCTGGTTTTGATTTTTTTCTCTAATAATTGAAATGTATAACACAATAATATACTTGTCCGCCAAAAAGATTGGAAAATTTGCCTTAAAAATGGGAAAAATTACTATTTTTGTGGTACCTAATGTTCATTCCGCTATAAAATAATGAATTTTTTAATGAAAAAATAAAGAAGAATAAATAAGAAAATTATCTTGTTAACAGGAGCAACAGAAATTGAAATTCATAATAATTATGTCTAACTAATTTAATTAATCACCATCAAAATGATTTCTTTGTTCAAATAACTTATATGTACATTATATTTTATAAACTATTGTAACTATTTTATAAAAAATGGTAACTGTACAATGAATGCATAAATAAGAATTTGATACCAAAGATGAGATACCTTAAAGTATAAAAAGTTATGTCGTTTTTAATACATTCAATCTACTGCAGCTAGCGCCCTCTATGAACTTCAACCAAAATGTGAACACATTTCAATTCCTCTACATAAAGAACTCCAAACCTTAAAATTTTGTGAGGATACTTGCATTTGTTAAGGACTAAATGAAAACAAAACTAAAATAATATTTTACATTTAACACCCTGTATCTCTTTAACTATCAACTTTTGGACTAAGGTAAGTTCGGCTAAATCGCAATATTTTTGCTTCGAGAATCTACCCATGAATTTTGACCTATTGGCTTGAGACCACCCTGTATACAATTTTTTTGTAATTGTATAAAAAAATAAATTTAAATTAGTCATATTTATTTTGAAACTTGAGAAATTTAAACAAAATCTTTATTATTCATATATTTTTTTTTATTAAATATAAATTTTTCTTCTACATCATGCGTAAGTATTGAAACCGCAAAATTTTATAGTTTAATTTTGTCGGACAATTAAATTCTCAGATTAATATTGTATTTTTTAAAATAATGACGCTTTTATCCGACAGCTGGTTATCACCAACCATGTTGTCGTTAAGTCGACATCTTCGGGGCGTCGGACTGCAAAAACTTCTCAAGAATTTTGTCGGACAATAAGACACTTTCATTTCAAATCTTATTACCAAACCCTTGCAGAAAAATCAGCTTGCTGGTTGTCACCAACCATAATGTCACCAAATCGACATATTTGGGGTGGGGGACAAACTCAAAATACCAACATTTTTGTCGGACAAATTTTTTGGGGGTTTAAAAAAATATATCTTTCATTTAAACTTAAAAAAAAAGTGCTGGTCATAACATTCCATGTTTATGCCAGATTGACATGTTTTCTTGAAAATCACGGGAAAACTTACCACTGTTGAATTTTCCTCGTAGTCAAATCTTGGGAGACTCGTCAAACTTCAGCTGCACGCAAAGTTACAGCTTGCTGATAATCATTTTTTTCTTTGTACGTGGTCCCGTGGACTATTAGTATAATTTCCAAAATATTTCTCTGTTTTTTTCATCAGATAAATATACTGTAATCAATATATGCGTTCATTATGAATGTATTGAATTACAAATTATTTGTAGGAAATTAAAAAAGCAAGGAAAAGCACACAACTTATTATGTTCATAATAACCTTGGTCAGTAATATACATTTACTATAAACAAATAGCAAGACATTGTATACATTTATACATTTACTAAATAACAATTAGCAACATTGTCTGCTGAATTAAATTTGTTGGGGTGCCTATTCCAAGAATATATCATCAGATACGAGAATATACTTTATTTATTAGGGATATGAAAAACGTGTACGCTGTGTATTTTCTTCTAATAAATTGCAAAAATGTTTAAAACATTTTTTACTTATATCTTGGAACCTATGCATATTGGAAGAATACTGAAGAGGAAAAAAGTTTTAGAATTGAATTTTACATAATATACTGTAAGTTAAAAATGTTTAAATTTATTACCGATGTTATAAAATAGCAATAATTGATGAAAAAAAAAGGCAAAATAATCAAGTTTTTTGGATAATTTTTTAAAAATATTTTCATTGCTTCGAGGGCATTCTAATTTTGGTAAAAAAAACTTTAAAGTATAATAAAACAACTCACCAAATTTCATTAAAATCGGTTCTATAGTTTTCGCAAAATAATATTTTGAAAAAATTTTGAAAAAAATTTTAGAATTTTCAAAATGTTGCACAGCCTCAAATAAAGCATATAGATACTTGGAACATTTTTTCACATAGAAAAGACCGCTCAACCTTTCAAATGGTTTTTGAAAAATTTAAATCGGTTGATTAGGACGGCGACAGTAAATTTTTAAATTTATTATTTTTTTATTTTTAAACAATTAGATTACCTTTA